ACTTCATAAAACATCCATGTATGTAAAGGTGCAGGTAAACCAATAAAAGCAATATTAGGTATGCCAATAGAAATTATTCGACGATACAAATCAAGATCAATTCCTTCATGAGATGTTGATCTTGTTGTATTTCGAACAAGTGTTTTAGTCAATGTTTCAGATAAGAATGGAAATGTTTCAATAAAACCAGTTGTACAAATAATTAAATCTGCTTGTAAAAGTTCACCAGAATCGAGTCGAATTGTTGTCTTATCAATAATTTCATCAATCGATGCCAATTTTCTAATAATACGATTTTCACGAATCATTGTAATAAATTCTTTTGTTACACGCATAATATTGTGAGCATTTCATATAGAACCTTTTGGTATGAATTTTTCATCAGCAAATAAATCTGATTTATATTTACTAATCAAAAAAATAGCTATACTATCAGTGATTTTAGTGAACACAAATGAAAAGACACGATGAAGAAAATAAAATGCAGCGCTATGCGGTGCATTAGGAAATGGATCAAATATATGTGTAAATATTCGACTAAATCCATAGTCTAATGGAACATAACCATGAAGAATTCCTGAAAATCATATGACAAGAACTTGCATGCATTGCTGCTAGTGTAGCCATATCAATGGCACTTTTAACACCACCAATTACTATTACATGTTTGTTTTTTAATTGATCTTCACTTTTAATATCAGTAATATGCATAATTGATCCACTAAATTTATTTTGACCACGAAAATTTGGCTTTTCTGGTGTAGAAAAAAGGCCAGTAGCTACAACAATTAAATCGAACTCGAATGTTTCATGATCACCACTCGCTGTTTCAACTTTAACAATCCAAGGAAGCTTGCCATTTTTTAAATCATTTTTATCAATTAATATAATTTTTGGTTCAAATCGAATTCGTTCGATAAGATGAAATTTATTGGCATATCGTTTTAGATAATTATGAATATTTTGCCACGGAGCACAATCCATAGCTATAATATACAAATCGAGAATATATAAAAACATTATTTATTATAACAATAAATATTTCACCTTCTGTATTATGTAGATTAGAAAATTCCATTAAATTTGCTATTGTTTGAGTATGTTGATGAACATACGCCCAATTGGGAGACCAAATACCACCTAATGTTTTATGTCGATCAAATATAGTAATATCAAAACCATCTTCTAAAAGAACTTTTCCTGCTACAAGCCCTGAAACACCTGCACCAATGATAGCTACACTTTTTCTTACCATTATATATTAACGATTTTTACAATTAAAGTATCATATTAATCAGAAACGTGCAATCAGATGAATATGTTTCGTTCTGTAGACAAGACAAAAAGAAAAAAATAATAAAACAATCGATACGCAACATAATAAGACACACCATCGGATTAAATATACGATGTATATGATGAGTCATTTATCTTTATTTACATATGATATAAATTAAGGTATTTCAGTAAACAAACCGTACATAATATAATTGAGCATGTTCTCTGACAACATTTCAAGATATAATCATTTTATTGAATTATTTTTCTCATTTTATAATAAATTAAAATAATGAGAGAACATATTTTTTATTTTGATATGTAGGGAAAAAGTGAGAATATTTTATGATCAGTTTGTATCCTTAGTAAAGTAATATTATTCTTACTTTTCTGGTAGATAAACTGTTTTAGATTTACTTGACTATACTGAATGATATATAGACTCAGTTAAGAAACATGTTTGATGTGTTTATCAACAAATTGATATCAACTGAATATTCTTAGATAAATATTAATTAATCATTACTTATCAGGTAAATGATAAAGATAATTATACAAAAATGAATGATTGACGAATAAAATTATATTTTTGTCATTGGTACATTCTCGTGCCATATCTTTTATTTATGATTTATTAATTTATTTTATAAAATCCTATGTCTTTATTAGTACTTTATTTGTTTGGACTCATTAAATCAATTGAACTTCTTATATAACTCCATTCTTTAAATCTACACACTCACTATGAAATGTACGCTTACTCTATATCAATATCCTATCAAATGTACACCTCTTTTTGAATATTTTGGGATCTACGTTGATGAAAAACTATCATTTAACCAACATTGCAAGAAAGTGTTTCAAATAATTCACACCAATCGCACTATATTAAAATATTTTAATCGATTTCAAACATCTTCATTGAAAGCTCGAATACTCGTCACCAATAAATTTACCATTATTATCGATCAACAACATTGAATCGGTTAGAAAGGCGATCCAAAAAATTTAAAGGTTTATCCACAACTAATGAAATGTTCGCGATGATGAAATGTAATGATTAACCGCATATCAAACAGTAAAATGTTGGATATATTAAATATAATACTTTTATTTTATTTCTTAATTACGACAGACAATATAGCTTTACATCCCGATACCGAAGCATATTAATTGAAATACAAGACAAAAAGAGATTTCTATTAAGACAATGTCATCGACAATAGCTAAAGTTATTTATTCCAGTATTTATTATGATATATTTGTACGAATCAATTGCATATTAACACGACGATTTATTCGTTTTTTGTCTCGTTTCTCTCGTCGATATCGTTCTAGCTCTTCACGTGTCATATCAATACCAAAACAATATGTTAATATATCCATTATTACAATAAACAGTACAACAATTGACAGAGCAATAATTGCAATATATGAAAATGATTTTGAAATGATTTTTGAGATAACAACTTTTCTGGCAGTAAACTCACAATGAGAACCATAATAACTAGTACCAAGACATTCACACTTATAACCTAATAATAATGGACGACAAATACCATTATTCATACATTCTACACCTTCACAATGGTTGACCATTGATTCACAATGAATACCTTCCCAACCATTTGCACATACACAATGAAATGTTGTGTTCGATGTTTCATTACACGTACCTATCAAGGAAAGTAGATTTTCTGAACATTACTGAATAGTGGAAAAGTGCAGAAAGTAAATACCATTATGTAAACATAAATGTGGTTTACAGATTCGGTGATCAAGTTCACAATAAGTACCAGTGAAACCTGATAGACATGAACAAACATATCCATAAGTTGCCATTTTATTGCTCATACATGTACCATCGTTTTCACATGGTGTTGCCAGCTCACATGGAGTATTTGAGATATTGCAACTGAGACCAATAAACGTTGAATCAGTGCAAGGTTTTGGAATGAAAACCGATGATGAACTAATAACTAAAGATAAAAAATCAAATATATAATGAACATAGACGATAGACTTGAGGATATTAAAAGTAGTATTGAAAACAAACAACTTGAACTTCTGCTCATACATAAAATCTAGATATTTCAAATTAATGTTTTTTTGAAAACTGTAAAGCTTTGAAAGATGAATTAGGTCTTTAACTTTCAGTATCAGTTTTACTCATATGATATGTTTAGATCACTTATGCATTTGAAAAATATTTGAAAACCGTAACGGTATTGCAAACCTTTTTTCTTTACAACATATATAATACTAGAGTCAAATGTAAGCTCACACAAAATATTTGGTGAATTACCATCTACAAATATAACTGAGTTGTCAAAAACAGAGAAAATAGTTCTACATACCATTGCTCATAGTCGTTACCATAGGTGATGTTTGCTGTACTGATGTTGTTGATGATGATGTTGTTGTTGTTGAAGATGATATTGTTGTGGTTGTTGTTGTTGATGTTGATGTTGTTGTTGTTGTAGATGCTGATATTGTTGAAGATGATGAAGTTGATGATGATGATGTTGATATTGATGCTGTTGTTGTTGAAGATGATGATGTTGCTGTTGTTGAAGATGATATTGTTGTTGATGGCGTTGTTGATGTTGTTGAGGATGATGATGTTGATGATGATGTTGATACTGTTGTTGTTGTGGATGATGATGTTGTTGATGGTGTTTTTGTTGTCCTTGTTGTTGATGTCGTAGTTTGATCTGTGTATATTAAAAAGGTTTTATTTTAGATCAATCCGTTATTTATGCTCGGTACATTTATTCAACTTTCAGGCATGTTTAACTTCAAGCTAAAACCACTGTATGTAACTAATTCTAGTAAACGATGGATGTATCGCTTTAGGACGATAAGGTCGGAGAGCTTAGCAGTGTTAATAGATATAGTACACAATGAATATATAAAATGTATCGCTTCTTTTAATATTTTAAGATATAGTTGATGAGATCATACAATATTCTGACAAAAATATTACAAACGATTGACAATTTCAATAATAGACACAATATGACACAATTATGCACTGAAAAAAATAGTTTTCTGAAAAGAATAAATTATTTGAACTGACCTTTGCTAATATTATGTTCAGGATTTTAAAAAGTACTCTTTTATCTTTATATATATTAATATTTGAATTCAAAAACACAACAAACGATGTATGTATATATTTTTGATCTTAAATCTGATATTTTCGTATCTCAGTCAAATAGGTCAAAGGGTAGAAAGTCTTTTAAAATTTTTTTACTCTCACTAAATCCTGCTCATAGTCAGAACATGAACGTTAAAGTTCTTAATCAATTGCTGATGCTTTATTATGAGATAAAGGGATCCCTATACAAAGATATATCAGTAAATGACGTATTTCTTCAATGAACTTGGGATAAAGTCTAGTTTATTTAGAGGAATACAGCAGAAGCTAAACGAGATATAGAATCAAATTATCCAATACTTTACAGAAATACTAATTAAACGTGTTCTCTCAATTGGTAAAAGGATCAAAGAGACTAATTTATTAAACAAAAACTAGAATTTGTAGTTAATCAGACACCTAACTCAATATCGTCAATGACTACACAGCTTCCGCTCTCTCAGTTATCCTGTACAGTCAATGATAGTAAGACCGATGTAGCTGATGCATTGAACGATAAACTATGCTTGAGGGTGTGTGTTCTTGCCCAAATAATCAATACTCACGCCCTCGACTTTTCTTTCTCAAAGCGGTGCAATAAGTAAATAACTTGATTGTATATCTTACTTGGAAGTTTGGCCCAATGGAACCGTATTTGATCTAATATATCTCCTGATTTACCACTTATAAACGACAGATAGTAACCCGATCTTGTATCTTTAAACATTGTACCACCACTACCGCCACATGTGGAATTAGGAATTGTTCTGCTTTTATTAGTAACGAATTGTAATGTATTAATCAGGTCTTCGCTATATTTGCCGTTAACTTCGATAATTTTTTCATCGGATTGTAAAGTGAAGGACCTGCCACATATAGTACTGCTTGGTGTTTTACCACCGCCTGTATCATGGTTGAATTCGTTAAATATTGTTCCATCTGATGCTTCATATGTAATACGAATCGATTCTACAAGAAGAGTTTTAGGTATATCGTTTAGTACTTATAACCACTATCCGAAATTATGTGAAAATATGTTTCATACCAAATCATAGCGTTTTGGTTACGAGATTTATCAATAATAAGAATTAAGAGAGCTATGGACAATTCTTAAGCTGAATTGGTGAATACATACGATTGTTTAAAAGCTATAGGCACACTATGTTTAGGAGGTTGCACAGACTGACTCATATTTTCAGCGGATCCCGTTAGGAAATCTTATTTTTTAGTAAAAATCTGCCGATCGTGCTTTCATAATAGTAGAATATTGATACATTCCTGTTACAAGATAAAATTTACTAACGGAATCCACTGAAAATAGAAGCTAATCTGCGCAACCTTCTAAACACACTGTGTCTTTAGTTCTTAAACACCTACAGATATTTATCAATTCAATTTATGAATTGTTCATAGCTCCTTCGTTTCTTGTTATTGACAAATCTCGTCCTCAAAAAATTATAATTTGGCACTAAACATATTTTTACGTAACTTCGGATTGCGATCATAGACGGTTTAAAGACATTGTTACTTACCCACTACAACTCTTCCATAATAGTTTCGTTGGGTCATGAAGATTGTTTTTGGAGCATATATCTTCGAGCTATCGAAGGTGTCTGAATCATTAAATGGTGATCCTGTACTGCTTCCGTATGACTGGCCGGCCCATATTTCGGGTAGTACTAAATGAAAGTAAAATTAGTTTGCATAATAAATGTAAATTACCAGCATTCAAAAGGGATTTTTACGAATATTTGCCTACGAGCAACATAGAAGAAACAACTAGCGAGAGGCTGCGCAAGTTTAGGATGCAGAAGTAAATTTCTAGAAAACTATCAAATTTATGACGAAATGACAAAGAAACTACTATAAATATTCAATAATTATGGAAATCACAGCAAATTCTAATAAATGAGACGTGGCAAATATTCATCAGTATTCATTCAATGTTATATCAAAGACAAACAGCACACAACAAGATTCTTATTGAATACGATGTATCTTTACTATGAAGGATGACATGTGAAGAAGTTCAAAAATATCTCATCTGATGGTGCTATTAATATAGTACAAAATGGCGTATTTATTTTCTGTCAATCCCAGTACTATCCAGAGAAGATATTCAAGGCATTTTTCACTATTATCGACGGTATAAAAAATGAAAATAGTTTCACACAAAATTCCTATCAGTCGATGGTTTCATGCTCAGTGAGCATTCTCCTCTAGTTTTCAATTGGATCGATATGGTTTTCTTTTATAGTTTACAATACTAAAGTATGTAAATTATTAGAAGACTTCTGATGAACAGAAAACTGATTCATTGTAATGAGCGTGTATGCTTTGTTTTTAAAATCGATGTACACACTTTTCGCTAGTCAATTGAATTCTAAGCAAAATTTTTACAGTTATTTTCGAGTAATAACTAAAATTAATCACAAGAAAGTTACATTGCGTTTCGTATTTAATTGTATGTTAGCTATAGGAAAGCTTCTATCAGCCACTGCACGAGAAAAACAACTGATGTCTCAATGTGGGTACTCATTGATGGTTAGAGAACAAGATAGGAGCTCATCCATCTTGTAAAGAATTGGTTTTAGGTATAACTTCAAATTTTTAGCCCTAAAGCTTAAAATTTGACTGAGATACCAATCACTGACTGAAAACACCAAAAATGCGATTTCTTCAAATTCTGAGTTTCAGTAGGTGGTTAACGACTAGCAATATTTTTGAAATGTCTCTTCACTAGAATGTGATAGAGGCCTGAAACTTTACCAAAAGTATATCCGGACATGGGGAACATAATCATAGTATCAAATAAGAGATATGTCATGAAAAAGTATTATTGCTATTTCTAAGCAGTGTTATCCTATGTACCCAAAAGGAACATATCTTGGGGCTCGGCTTTCTCCCAATGAGCTTAATAGGTTTCGCTCAAATTTTTGTTTTGCAAAGACTGCTATCCTAGTGCTACATGCCTATATATTTGGAGACATGTGATTTTAAAATTTGTCCTAGAAAAGATAATCATCAAGATAATGATGTTTCGTCTCATATCTATAATAAACTTTTTCATATTCTATATAAGCAAATAGAATTGAAGTATGTTTGAGCACTAACTAAACTTGGTAATTCTAATATTTCGATTGATATGACTGACTTTGATATTAAGAAGACACTTTTTTCTATATTTACCTCTTATTTTTTTAATATTAAATAGAATTATTATTTGTATTAAAAGATTCTTTGATAACATCTTTTGTTTTTCGTTTAATACTTTTTCAATATCTATATAATAATAATTTGAATAAACTATAGATTTTTTGAGATCTACTAATCACTTACTATACTCCCTAGAAAATAATAAAATGAAGTCATATTAAGAAACTTTGTTTTATTTTTCTCTTCGATCTATTCTACTTAAACTAATATTGATTGGTCGTTTTCTCGGTACTTTTTTAAAGATATAATATTTCGAGCTTATATTACACTGTGTATATAATCGGTAAGTGATCGAAAAAACTTATTTTAAAAGCAAATATTGCCTTCTCAAATATAAGAAAACATTCTTTTTTTGAATATTATCATGAACATATCTTGATTTCTCCTTTCGCTTTTGTTTTTCTTGATATATGAAACCATACGATTACTTCCTCTCTAATAGAAATAAATATGTATTTTTCGCTCATACATTTTCCTGTTAATTTCACCTTTTTATTGAAGTAAAACGATCGATGTTTATTTGTCATATACTTTCCAACACTTATCAATAATCAATAATTTGTACTATAAAGCATTTTATGAGAAAAACAGTGATTATTAGATTAATTCAATTAAATCTTTAACTTGATCATAATCAGATATATTCTGTATGAGTCTGTTTATTTGTTTTAATTTCGAATTTTATGATTGAAATTGAAAGAAAACTAATTACAGTAGACAAACAAAGTATTAGTTACGAGTTTCAATATACTATTGACGTCAATGTTAATCATATGTTAGATTCTGTTACAATTTCCATTAAAACAGTTGTTTTGAACTTTCATATAGTGTTACTATTTAATCTTCTCTCGATTGATTTGCACTACATTGTCATTCTTTCACTTTTTAATTATTGCTATATTTAATCATAGTTTAGTATATCGAGTTAGAAAACGAAAGTATGATGAACTATCCTACTGTCACTTGATAAAAGGTAGTTATTAAAAGCATACTAGCCTAATTAATCTATTTCATGATTTTCTTTCGAAACTTTCTAATCGACTCGAAGTTTCATTGATTTTTATTTTACCGTTATATATAGAAAGTGAAACGTTTCTGTTTTTTTCATTTGAATAAAACTTTTATTTCGAAACTTATCTGAAATTTGACTTCAAGATTTGCTTAATGAAGGTATTCATTTGTGAGTTATCTTTGATTTGTAACTTTGAATTTATTTATTTGTTTAAAATAAAAAGAAATTGATATATTTTGTTTATTTTGTTCATTGTTCCATCCAATCGAATATTTCTTGATACCAAACAAGTGAATTAATTAAATGGATTTAATATCCAATGATTTTCATTTCGCAAATAAAGCATTGGACTTGGAATTGCTCAACGTTGTAAAGCTGAAAATGCCCGAATGCTTTGTGCATCTGGAACACGATAATCTCGTCCACCTTCAACAACAAGCATTGGTTGTGAACAATTAGCAACATGATTAATCAGATCAAACTTTTCATAAGCTTCAGGATTCTCATATTCAAGAAATCCACCTGAATCATGCTCAGTAAACCATAATTCTTCGGTAGCATAAGCCATTTCTCGTAAATCAAATGTTCTATTATGATTTACAAGAGTTTGTGAACGACGACTCATTTCTGGATGTACATCAATCCAATCAATCATAAAACCTCCATAATTAGCACCTAATGCAATAGGTCGATTGCCATCAATATATGGATACTGTTCTAAAGCAGCAACAAGGGTATGGGTGTGGGTGCTAGATGAATGCAGCATCTATCCCTACACCCACACCCACCCACACTCACGCCCACACCCGTATCCTTACCCAGATACAGACCCACACTCTCAATTCTTACATCATACCGTGGTGCAAATTCTAACCATAATTCAAATTCTATTACTTACAAAAAATTATTAAATTATCGTGATTTGATTATAGAACATAAAAAAGTGTTTTAATAGATACGATCATTAATCATACTTGACATTTATAATTTAATAAATTGAATTTTTTTAGTATACTTCAAGCATATTAGAAATAATTATTATTTTTAAGTGTTATGAGCATTCTATCTTGATATGCACAGATGTAAATTGTTGTTCTTTCATTTTTTTTCATATAGCAGACGTCATATTTCTTTCTCATACCCATCAGAGCTAAGTAAATATAGATTTTATGCTGATTTTATCTTTTTTCTAAAATAATATTCTAAATAAAATCGTTCATATTAGATCAAATACAGATTGTCAAATTAAATCTAGACAGTTAATTTAGATCCTGACAAAAAATTGTCTCATTCAATTAAGATTGATCAGCTTGTCGTTTAAAACGAAAGTAAATTACCAAGCATCATAAGATTTAACGACAATACAAATCTATCTGGAGGGTGTGAGTGCGATTATGAGAGTATCGTGAATAACTGACACCCACACCATCGAGTAATATCTTCTATGATGAAATGTCGATAGCAATCAGTTGTATTATTTTTTGAAATAGATATTACTTCTTTGATGAATCTATTTCTCTCCAGGAATTTTTCATCCGATTCTGGCTCTATAACATTTCAGGCACATAAATACATCTCTTCATTAGTAAAATCTCCGTCGAAACTTTTAGAATCATTGTTTACTCGATCAAAATCGTTGTTCAAAGAGCTCACTTCATTGAGTGAGTTAGTGCTATCATCGTTATCGGCTCGGATGATATGAGTAAGGGAGAACAAACTGGAAATTTTGTTCTTATATATCACGTATACTACCCAGAGTGATAAAAAATCGATACAAGATTATGCAGACGTCATTAAATGTACTTTTTTTCAAAAGTAAAGTGTTCATGACAATGAACACCTGGAAAAGTTTTCTAGAAAAACTAAATCATGCTGAAAATATTAAATACAACATATTTCTGATAATAAATATTCTATTCTATTCTTTCTCAATGGATCTTATGCAGCATTTGACGTCATTCTCTGAGTTTCTCATTTTTATTTTTCTAAATAATCATAATAAATATTATTCCATGCTATTTACGTCTGCAGTTTATTTAACAGAGATTTTACATTAATAAAAAATCACATTTCACATCTGCCAAAACTTTATCCAAAACTAACTTTGAAAAACGGAACCAAGATTAATTTTTCTATTGATATATGATTTGTTTGTTGCAAGTGTTACAATATTCTGAACCGATTATTTAAGATAAGACTTATTTTTATTTAAGTCATGCACGGTAATTTCTATTTAGTTGATAAGAAGTAAAAAAATACATATCATTTTTACATTATTTCGCATAAGAATAAATCAAGCTTCATTTTAACATTGTTTTATGTTGAATAATTAATAGAACATCTTAAATTTCATAAATACAAAAACAATATTCAAATGAGACAATTTATATTCTCTATAATTATATCAATATTAATGAATGATCTTTGAAGAAAAAAAAGAGTTTTTTTTGATTTCAGATTGTGTAAATATTCAAGCTCGGATAAAGCAACAACAACAACTATGAACATGAATAACAGAGTTGGAGTTGATGAAGTAATGTATTAAATAAAGAGACAATAAGCTTATTTTCTTTTTTTTGCAATATTTTAGTCTCCAGCAGTTAATCCTGATCCAAGACGATTAGGAAAATTGTATGTATATATGATGAATTAAAATAAATTATCGAAAGAATTTTTTATTTTAGATATGAACATTTTCGAAAAAGAAAATCCATGTGGATAATATTTTTCATTATTTTGGTTGCTTTAATAATAGTTGTTCCAACAACTATTGTCCTGGTGAACAAAGCAAAGAGAGAAAAAACATCGACAATGGAAATAACAACAGAGATAGAAATAACGACAGAAAGAACAACAACAGGAACAACGAACGGTATGATTTTGTTAAAATAACTATAGTTCGCCTCTTATTGAAAATAATTCACAAAAGATAAATTATTTTTGAAAGTAGTTTTTCTTGATGCAATCTAAGATATTTTAATCGAATAAGAATATAAAATAGTTTAATTTTCGATAGCCGATAGTAATACATCATATACTTCTATAGAATAATATCGAAAGGTTCACCGAAGAGTGCATGAGAATGTTGTATCGAATTCAGATTTTATCCATCTACATCCACATCTACATTCTCGTAACTTATATGTATTGATACCAAAACATTATGTTCAATAAAATAAAATAAAATACGTTTTATCTTTCAGAAAGAATTTTTAGATCGATAGAAAAGAAAATAATTTGAAATTTTTCTAAAATATTTTATAGAACAATTACTTTCTACTGTTATCATCAATAAGAATATGAAATGGAAACAGAGCGCATCTACGGTTGCCGGAGGAAATGGACAGGGAAGTGAATTAAATCAGTTAGATGCTCCTTCTGGTATTTATGTTGATGATGATGATCAAAGTATTTATATTGCTGACACTGACAACAATCGTATTGTTAGATGGAAATTTGGTGCAAACAATGGTGAAATCGTTGCAGGTGGAAATGTATCTGGAAATGAAAAATATCAATTGAAACAACCAACAAATGTCATTCTTGATCAAGAGAAGAAATATCTCATCATTTGTGATACGGGCAACTTTCGATTGATAAAATGGTCTCGTCAAAATAGTCAGGATCAAGAAATATTGATACCTTTCATTGTTTGCTTCGCTTTAGCAATAGATAATAATGGAGATTTTTATATTTCTGATTGGCTAAATAATAAAGTCATACGTTGGCAAGAAGGAAATAAAGAAGGTATACTTGTAGCAGGTGGAAATGGCGAAGGAAATTCATTTAATCAACTTCATCAAGCTAAGCAGATCTTCGTCGATAAATATCATTCAGTTTATGTTGCAGATTTTGTGAACGATCGTGTGATGAAATGGACGAAAAACGCGACCGAAGGCATTCTAGTTGCTCCAAAAAACGTTTCTAATCAAAATCCCAGTACAATGCTTAAGCCCAGAGGTGTGATCGTTGATCATACGGGTAATATTTATGTATCGGATGCTACAGATCATCACATAATGCGTTGGTCACCAGATGCAAGAGAAGGTATTGCTGTTGTTGGTAAAGAACAATCTGGAAGTGACTCGACGCAACTCACTAACCCTGGATATTTATCATTTGATCGATCGGGTAATCTTTATGTGGTCGATGCAGGCAACCATCGAATACAAAATTTTACTATTGATCTTAACTGAAATATTTTTGGTCACAAAATAACTTTTGATAAAGGATTATTTTTTTGTCACTTTTCAATTTTTTTTTCTTCAGTAACGAATAAAACCTAATAAAAATATCAATAATTTAAATTGTCATTCATCTTGGAGATTCTTTTTGCTAACTGACATACAACACGATATCCAATAAAAAACTCCACTCAATTTGCTTTCCAAGTAAAAATAGATTAAGCTATCCAATTGAAAGCGTATGATGGTATGAATATGGTTGTCGAATTCTTCTTATTAGTATTGACACTCACACACTCAATTGTCATCGTTTCAATAAGTTAAAATTTTTTGAATTTGAGATATAATTTAACTAGCTCAAATTGCAAAACTATAGTGTCGAATTTTTCAATAAATAAATCTACAATTATCAAAAAGAGAAATTGCTTCGCATATATGTAATATTAGAAAGTTGAATTTAAGTATTAAACTATCACTAGAGGCCCCTGTGAAGAGATAAGATTTCATATTATAGGGAAAACTGACTCAATACAAAATGAGCAGTGTCAAACTTGAAAGTTGGATTTGCTTGTTTACTTCAAGTATTAAACTATTCTCTTTCTGTATCTCTCTTCCCTTCATCGCCACTGGTATCCTGCTTACTCATATTCTCCCTGTGCTTTACACTCACCCATGCCGCCTGTGCTCTACGCTGACCCATGTCCCCTGTGCTCTACGCTGACCCATCTAGAGGGTATGGGTGTGAGTGAGAGTGAGGGTTGGTGTGGCTGTGGCAGTGAATAAAAAGGGTAGACACCTACACCCATACCCACACTCTAATATAACCAGTTCAGTTATACAACACACCAGGTAGTATTTATTGATATTTTCTTAATTTAGCTGTTTACTCTACAAAATAACTCAAAAATTCTCTCATCACAGTTTCACTGTTTAGAAAATCTTTTTTTTGAAAAATTCTATAATTTTAAGATTAATGTGGAACAAAATAGTACGAGATAAAAATGAACACATATCTTAATCTAAAATTATGCAACGAGTGAATATTTTTCGCTATTTGAGGCGAACTACTCATTTAGTGTATTTGAATGAATGAATCGTTCAAGAGTCTGTTTTTATAATATTTTACTGGTCATATCATTATGATAAGGAGAAATATTTTGATACAAGAAAAAAACTTGTTCCTAGCTTAAGAAAAATGGATTGTATCTTGAGCATAAAATGATATAAAGACGATTAAACTTCATTGATTATGAATAAAATTTATTTATTATTCAAAATTAAACAAAAAAATGATTTATTAAATGTATTTTGTTTGTTAGAACGATATATTCGATTCGATATCATACACAAACACATATTATACAGTAGATTGAAAAATAGTTTTTGTATATTCATTTATCATTTCACATATAAACTGTCATTCTTGTTTTCGATACACTGAGGAATACTATACGTCAATCACAGGATGTGGGTGTTCATCTGGTGAATATAAGAGCATATATATACTCTCAAGAAAAAAGTCTAAATATTATTTTCAAATGATCAAAATTCAACACATTATCGTTAATTCAAGTTTATTTATAAATTCTAGCCTAATGATTAATCTCAAAATGTATCTCCATTTAATTAATTGGATAAAAATTATTCATAATTTACAAATGATTCAATGTTGTCTTATATTTTCTTGTGTAAATTTAACAAAAACACTAGTTTCCTCTAATCATATTCAAAATTGATTAAGCATAACATCAATAAAATGAATCATTAGTATATTAGTGAACTAATACACAACATTGAAATCTCTGATAAATAAAAACAATAAGTGTATTTTATTTTGAAGATTAGTTATAAATACTATGATAATAGATGTAAATTATCATTGAATGTTAACACGATTAATGGTAAAAACTTTTGGAGAAGAATTCAATAGCAGGTCGTGTTAAATAACATTTTATGTTAGTCTTTCTAAGAAAATAATGCAAAATCATAATTCTTTTTGAAGGAAATACAAAGTTTCCTGAAAGAAAAAAAGTATTTTTTTACATTGCATTTATTTAAAACGATAGAGACTGAAATGATATTTGTCGAAACTGATATATTCTATTTATTTCTATTACATGTGTGAGATTATTTTTCTACAAATTTAATTTTTATTTGATGAATTCAATAAATGAAAATAAAAATCGTGTTGGTTTTCTATCAAAAAAGAAATAGATTCTCATCAAAATATATTTTACTGTGTAATTGAATCTAGTGCTTGAATGGAATATATAAGAAGTGTAGTAGTATCAAACTTGAAAGATATGTTTAATCATTCATTTTTGCCCCTCCTCTTCCACACCTTTAGTTGTTGTCCCTCAGTTCAAAACATCGCTTGTACTCTCATTTTGCGTTCTTTAATCCTTTTTATTCCTAGAGTCGAATAGTTGAAGCAATAGTTAAATTCAAGTTGAAGTATAACATATACGATAGCAGTAAGAGTATTTATCACCAATGTAACGGTATTGACCGTTATGCTTCACCTAATCTATATCATGACCGTCTCCACATATCACTGACCTTCTCTCTCTTTGTGTAACCACTCCTATATAAGTTGTGTTCAATAAAGGAAAGGCACGATTGTGATTGTGCAGATGACACAAGACACCATCATGTCGAAAGGCATAGGCAGTCACTCTCACAATTCGTCACAACCAACATTTACACAAAAAATAAAAAAGTTAAAATGGATGAATTTTCAGTAAGAAAAGCAATTCTATTAAAACAGCGACATTGATTCTTAATTAAATGAAGAACTTATACTTGTATTCTACAAATAATCAACTTCAAGGATAAAACCTCTATTCATTCAACATCAAGCCCAAAAGCCTGGTGTTGAATCGATCACATAAACATAGAAAATAGTATTATTACGTATTTCTACGTGTCAAATAATCGAATCTAATAATCAACTCTTACTGGATCTAAAAATAAAGATTTCAGACTGAAACGATTGATAAATAATCATATTATTATAATAAAAAAAGACTGTTGATTGAATTTATTTTCAACAAATAAAATTCTAAAACAAATTTCTATTTCTCTACATATATTTATATATAGAAATGATTCTTAATAATCATCAGACTATTATTATTTTTTCTTCATAATAGTTTATGTGGATTAAGCATAAAATTCAAAAAAACTAATATAGAAAAAGATACTTATTTCATCAATATAATTTTAATTATTTACAAGAATACTATATATAACATGAAAATTATATCTAAAAAAAATAATCCACTTGCTTTCAGTGGCAAGGAAAGTGTAAAAAAACGTAGCATCAGATGTAATTGTTTATCCTTTATGATTTCAAAATACAGTAAAAATATTGAAATTATTGAGACATAATGTGAAGGTAAACTGTTGTTAGTCAATATTTTATATAATTATTGTTGAAACACAGTGAATATCAGGTTTTTTTAAAACAAATGTAGACTTTCCTGAAAATAAAAACAACTAATAAAATATCATGATTTGTTAATCTATAAGCATTGAGAAGTTCTAGAATATTTTCAGTTAAGAATCTATCATATATTATTCAACAATTATCTCATAAATCGGATAAATAATTTGAAATATATGTTTCTCAGAAATATCGTACATAGAATTTTATTATCTCGATAAAAATAATTCTTTCTTTTAAACTTTATTCTTATCTGAATGCATTACATTTTATTCATCTATTTTAACAAATGTCGAAGAGAAAGAGAGAAGAAAATAAAAAAAAATGAGTAAATATAGGAAACAAGGAAATACAATTTCATAGTGTTAAATAAAATGATATTCTCTTGTTATTTTTTCTAAATTTAGAAACATATGGTATGAGTAGGTTGTTTTCCATATTAACTATTTTTTTCATTTATTCATTCTTTTCAAAATTACATCTAACTCTCGGTTGAGATTATCTTGAGAATATGAATTCTATAGATTTTTATTTTTCAATAATTGTTATTTAATATTTTCTTGAAAAGATTCTATGTTGAAGATAATCTTTGTTTATCTAGAAATACAATTTGTTTTAATAAATGAGTAATATATATATATATATATATATTTTATACTTAATTTTATTGTTCGTGGTGTTTAGTAAATTCTTTTTCTTCTTTATTCTAGCAAAAAAAATTGTTTATTAATCTCATACAAAATTCTTCAAAACAACAAATATCATTTAATAGTCATTGGAATTTTCAAGTGAGTATTTTTATTATAAACTTATCACACAAACATTAGGGTTGTACCGAGCCCGAGCCTCTCGGGCTTGGTCAGGGCTCAGGCTCAGGCTCGGGGCCCGGGAAGGTTCAGGCTAGGTCAGGCTCAGACTCGATTAGGCTCGGTGTCGGTCCGGCACAGGCTCGGTCGGACTCAGTCAGACTACTGGCTCGGGCAGGCTCAGGCTCGATTAGGCTCGGGCTGGGGTGTCAGGATGGATGTGCGTGAGAGTGTGAGTGAGACTGTGGGTGAAAATGTGAGTAAGAGTGAAAAGGATAGCACCCGCACTCACCACACCCATACCCACGCCTATCTTCACACCCGAGCCCTGTCCAAGCCCCCCGAGTTTGACCGAGTCCCGAGTCTCACCGAGCTCGAGCTCGAACGGCTCGGGCTTGTTATATCACTAACAAAGACCTCAATTATTTGAGTGATTCATATTTTAGTGTGCTTCTAGACTCATACCTTAGTTAAAGTTGCTCATGTAAGACAATAAACATCTATTTACATTATGAATTTTGATTATTAATAAATGTTACATAATTAAAATATACCGAAAGATAAAAGAAAACTAGTAGAAGGTCTATCAAAAAGTTAGGATCACCAACGAGATTCACACTATAGCTTTCATATTGATATGAAATAGATTATATTCTAAAAGATTTTAGTAGTTTCTGTCATTTACTTATCCGATATTCAGTTATCTCATATTTTAGATTATCAGTTTAATTTGCTCTATGTAAATACCTTTATATCTACGGCAATTGTAAGCAGGTGATTTTTTTCTATTCTTTCAGAAGGATCTAGAAGATTTTGGAAATTCTTAAAGATCAAACTATTGTTTGCTTTAGTGAATTATTAAGGAATAGAATGCGAAAAAAATATAATAAGTTCACCTATATACCAATCAAAACTGTTCAAATATACGTTTTTCTTCTCTCTTAGTTTTAGTTATTAAGAATAATCTTTCAAAGTTTATTCAGGAGTTTTTTAGGAATTATATATTGATTTTACCGTTAATTTTATTACTGTTATCATAAAAGTACTTTTGTTTCTAGAATAAATTATTCCAATTGGTTTTAGAATTACAAGATCAATACAAAATTGTGTAAAACATTGATTCTTTGAATTAATTTATTTATCAGAACGATGAAATTGAAAGTTATATCTCACTGGTGTTATAAGCGATTAAGTAATTACAATCTTTTTATGAAAGAGGAAGATGATTATGACGACGATGATGATACTGAACAAAGTAATCCAGTTACTGTTCTCAAACATCAGAAATATACAACGTGGTTGTACTTTTTTCTTCTCGTGGGTAAGTAAAATCTTAGTTATTGACTTTTTGAATGTATATACATCTATTGATAGATTGAGAACTAAATTTTAAGACAGATAAAGCTTGTCCCATATTTATTTCTATAGGAAGTAATTGAAAGTTATTTAGAGATACATGAATGAAACTTCAGATTTTTTAACATATACGAATGGATTGTAATTTTAATACTAACAGTTTTATGAAGGGAAAACTTGATTTCGAATTGTTCAGAACTAATTAGGATCTCCCTTAATGAGTATTTCTACTGATAAGAGAAACTTTTATATTCATGAGTATAGAATTAAATATGATAAGAATAACCCTCACTCACACCCAAAAATTTCTGATACAAAGAAGTGGAAATCCATAGATACTTTGTCATAGTTCTCTTGTCCAATATTGTTGATAATAGTAGGATTATTTCTTAAATTACTATCAAGATTTATAAAATTGATGTATTTTCTTGAAATAGTATTTATTCCTCAACAAAAATGAGGAAACACTAGGATACTGATCGTCATCTCGTATCTTAATTTCTGCTATGTTCTTTATTTTCTATATAAATAATCTTTTCATTTATATTTTTGTTTTATTAAACTATTTATATTTTTGTTTTATTAAACTAAATAATAATGCAATTATTCACGAAAGAATTTATAACAATATCAATAACTTTTATTCCTTCCCATTTATTTATAGTGTCTCTCTACATTCTTTGTTATATTGCTATTGTGAAACCAGAATCTCAAACGATTACTAAATATAATATTACTCGTGCTGTCTTCAATCAACTTGATCGTGAACATGCTGACACTCTTTCATGTTCATGTTCAAAAGTGGAAGTGCCTCTTAAAGCTTTCGTATCTTATGAAACCATATTTCATCCTGTTTGTAACAGTATTTTTGTCAATCAACAATGGATTCAAACATTGTATTTTGAAAATGCAAGTAGATATGGAACAGGAGACTTTCGAACAACAGCTTATTCTCAAGTGAGTCAGTATTTATTATTATGAACATATTTCTGTTCGTCAAGGCAAAGTTCTTTCGAACTGCATCGCTATATGACTCCCGACTTGTTTTTGCAAAAATCGAAATTTTTAAAAAATTAGTCATTTTCATATGGAAAAAAGGTACTGGTAGTTCATCTTCATATACTAGTCTTTAAAGCAATAATCAATACATAGGGGTACATTCTAGTCAGAACACATATTAGGTCTAATGTCGAATATTATAAGATTAGCAAATGATGGATTTTTTCCAAGATTGTTTTGAGTACCATGCCCGTGGAATAAGGCAAGAAAAACGTCAAGCAGTTAGAGAAAGTGATAAATCTCTTGTTTTTTGTCTTTGTAGCGTGTATTTTGTTGAAACACTTCTGATTTTTTCAAGATGAAAGCGAAAAAACAGATCGAGGGTATGGTGAGGGTGTGGATTTGAAGAAAAGAGAAATACTCACACCAACACCCTCGCCCACCCGCACCCGCACCCACCCTATAGTCAACTATCCTATGCTTATATTTTGAGCTTTATGTGTTTGTACACTATAATTTTAGTTTCATAACTTTATCAATTTACATATCACATTACATGTTTTTTATCAATGTTCTTACGTTTATGTTGGAAATTGTATTTACCAATGCCTATATCGTTAATTAACTATAGCTTTTAATGACTACATTTTTGTACTTATGATGTTCGACTTCTGTTAACATGTCTATGATCTAAGAGATATATTGATATATCTATACTATAAAGTACATAAATTCTCTAGCACATCCTTTAAATACATTGTTGAATCAGGTGTATCGAACAAAAATAGTATCGATAGTTCCTCAAAATCCAGCAAAATTCAGAATAAAACATTGTATAAAATAGTCATTTTTCAATAAAATGTTTTCAGTTATTATATATATTATGTTTAAGTCACCTTTTCATATCTATCTTATTTTGAACAGTGTGCTCTAAGGTAATACTTTCTACTAATTTATTTTTCATTTAGTTTCGAATTTTGGCTTTTCTGTGTTCTCTCTGTCAAGACACAGTCTATCAAAATCAACTTGATTTGGATAACTATAAACTCATGAACAGTCATCTCCTTTCTGAAGTTCAAGTTCAACAAAAAGTGAATGGCACAGTTGATTTTTTCAAAAACAATGCATCTACTCGAATTATTTTATTCTTGAACTATTTTCGAACTACGATTCAAGCAAACTATATAGTTTCGGCTCTAAACACAAATTTCCTAGTTAAAATAGCTTATTTCAAAGAATTAAGAGTCCAGAATAGAAACATAATTTATTGTAAAAACTATGATGGTCATCCTTCGCATATAGAATATAATTGTCATAATGAACCTATCTACATAACATACCCGTGTAGTCGTGGAAATCCAATAGTTGCAGCTACATTTTTATCGGTTTCGGATTCTCCGAACCAAAACATGCATAGTACATGGACTGATCCTAGAGCAGATGATGTGGTGATGAATGGATTCTTTGTTGGATGTACCCCTCTTGAAGCTCTTCTACACAGTACACTCGATTGCTTGTATATTATTGAATGTCTACAAGTATTAATATATTATTTTCCAAATATGAAACAAGTATGAATATAACATTATCATATTTTGTCTAGATAATTCTTTTAGATGCATTTGAACTGGACCGATTCTGTTCTATCTTCAAAGCGACAAAATGTTTTTGTCAAGGACTATTTACTTGATCTTTTCATTGAACAATGGTCAACAGAAATAAACTATTCGAAATACTTTGATGAATGTGCTCCTTCATCTTGCACATACACTACAGTACAACGAATCAATTTTGCAAATGGAATAACTTTATTTATTAGTCTTTATGGCGGTCTTATTATCTTACTTCGCCTAATTACACCGCTATTAACCACCATTTGTTTGAATCTGAAATGTCCTTCAAGAAATATGAATGTTTCTTGCGGTAACTTCGAAATTTACTAAAAATAGTGTTATTCTATATATATATTATAAATAATTTCTAGTTTCTCTTATGACACCTATTCACAAATTGAAACAATACCTCAAGAATTTGAATTTGTTTAAGGATATCAAGCAACGAACAGAAAACGATATAAAAAAACAGAAGATTACTACGCGAATCTATTTGATTCTATTCACTGGTATGTTTACTTGCTCTATATATGTCACTACTATTGTTTCATATAGAAATAAATTTATTAACTAGGGATTCAGTTACTATTCTCTTATTGAGAATCACAATTGTCGCACAAAAATAGTTGACTATTTGTAATATTCAGTTTAAAAAATTTAAATGGAAGTGAAGGGTGTGGATGTGGACGTAGCAATGAATAGAAAGAGTAGATACTCACACCCATTTACGCACAGCCACACCCTCAACTTGTATAATCTTGAATATCATTTTACTATATAAAATACGTTTATATTTTTCTGTGCTTTTTTAATTTATATTACTAGGTGCATTTCTTACTATTTTACTCTTCACTTCATTGAGCACTAAAATTGCTACAACACGTGTAATTCATCCATCGTTAACTACTTATAAGAATTTAGAAATTCAACATTCAGAAACACTGAGATGTCCATGTTCTAATATGATAATATCTCATGGGACATTCATTACATTATCTCCAGTCGTACATCAAATATGTTCAAGTGATTTTGTTACTGATGAATGGCTTTCAATAATGCAAAACGACAAACGCAGATTAGATTCTCTAGATTGGCGCAATAAAGCTTTCTCAAAATTTTCTTTATTATCTAATCTTTGTCGGCTAGCTAATAAAACAATCAGCGACGCTATACATCGTTTCCTCTTGCAACCTTTCATTGCTTCGAATGCACTAAGTGAATCAGACTTCGATTTACAATTAAATGCAATTCTCGATCGATTCTTTCAATCGACAATTTTATACTTTGGTCTTCTTCTTGAAACAGAACGAATCCTTACTCAAGTTGATCAGCCTTATATTGGATCAGACATATCTCCTTTTCAGCCTTCCGATCCAGATGAAAATGTTATTGGAGATTTTACCAAAAATGTAACGAATAACAAATATACAGCTAAGGTATTATTTTCTAGACATCCAAGAATATTTTTTTGCTTCTGCCAATAATATTATATTAGAATCACCCAATATCACATATTTTTAAATATGTCTATAAGAATTTAATAAGAGAGAAACTTTATGTCTACAATTAGTAACTTCTTAGCGAGCCTTTCACTTCAAAACTTATACAGTATTTATATACTTTTGAAAATGGTATAAAAATAGAGATTATAGAAAAGGAGACACAAGTTATCATTTTTCAATTTTATCATTTTTTAAGTCAAAACTATTTTGAGAAAAATATCGGTTTGTTCGTAGAAATCGAAATATTATTTGATCACCAGATGATTTATATAAAATCATTCCTAGTTGGAGAAAAAGTAATTTTTTGTCATGTAATTTACTGTTATAAAAACTTATAATTTTTTTCTTTCAAAAGATTTTACTTGATCAATAAAATCGGGCTCAAAAATTTTGATAAATCTACAAAACTATCCTGTCAAATTTATTAAATAACCGTTATTTTTAAGAAAATGTTTTAGACTAAACAAAGTAAAAATCCAGATACTCAGAAAAAGGCTACAAAGTTTGAAATTCTTTTTTTAGCTTTCGTATATTCATTTCAAACCATTAGGAGAATCGATCAAGGTTTCAATATTTATTTTACAAATATTTTTATACAGCTTTTGAATTCTTTGTAATTTGCAAAGTCTTTTTATAGTTTTTGTATCACGCTATTTTCCCAATAAAAATATGTATTAAATCCCAACATTTTATTATTTTCAGTTATTTTACAAAAATAAGTAATAGTGACTGTAAAGAAAGTATTTTAACGTTGCTTATAAATAATCTATATACTAATGAGAAAGATATTAACGCTATCCCTACAGGATTAACGAGCGAATCTTGATTCTGCTGCTAATTCACATTGTAAATAAAAAAATAGCGTAGTGTTCGTGACAGACTGTGTCTGAGAAAATAACTTTGCTGATAAATTAATCTCGATCTGTGTTAAGTCGTCACTGTAAGGACGTTTGTCGTCTCTGTAGGAGAAAGAATGGGTGAAGAATAAGAGACTGAGATTTTGATCCCTGTACTTTTGAATACTTTTTTCAGATCATGTTTCAAAAAAAGTCATCTGAGGGATGGAAGAATCAGAAGACGTACCTTTTTCTTTATAAGAAAGAGCTTCTGATGAATCCAGTTGCTCAGAGTATTTTCTAGTCTTACGATCATAAACATAATTTGGATATTTTATCAATAATGAAATGTTGATCTTCACTTTCATTTTAGCTACTGTTTAAACTGGCTGGACCTCGTGGTACGGATCCGACATCCACCGGCTGTATCTGTGCTGTTGATATTTATTGTCAAGTTCCGGCGTTTGTTTTCTATCTTGTGACAGGTGTAGGTCCTGTCTATTATAACGTATCAGGCTCGGTTGTAGCTTGTTCAGCTACTAATTCACTAATGCTTTCGACGCTTGAGTGCTATTATAATGACTCAGATTGTTTCTCCATTCTAATGAGTTCCATTAAAGACTATTATATTTTTAATAATGTACACGAATTACAATTTATTGTTCGTCCTCTTGTTTATAATTCAACATCAAGTCGTTTTCCTCCAAATACATCAATTTCTAAAATAATCAAAAACATGACAGTCGAACAATGGAATCCATCTTATTCATATAATCGATTTTACAATTCATGTGCACCAAGCTTCTGTACTTATTCCAAGCAAATTCGCATAAAAACAATCGTTGAAGTGATCATAGCAATGATATCAATGATCGGTGGTCTTATTTTGGCATTACGACTTATTACACCTCTGCTAGTCACCTTTGTCTTTTCCTTACTCACAAGGACCAATAGCACACAGCAACAAGGTAATTATTAGTCAGACGTTTATTAAAAACAATAAGATTTCATATATATTTGGATATATCCTAAGATGAACTAAGCTAAAATAAAATCTTGATTTGGTAGAAAACTAATTACGCAAACAAATAATTTAACAAAAAAGTAATATTAACTGTTTAAATAATATTTGCAGTGTTAATAGAAGTTATGGTTTTTAGTTAAAAACAGTAGTGTACAACGCATATTTTCATATGAAAGAGTGCACTCATATTCTTTTTATTACTTATAGTATGATGATTCACTGCATCCTGTGAGAAAGATTAAAATTCATTCAGGGGCGTAAGTCAGATGCCAGAGCAGGGAGGGGGTGTAAGGGAGGCGTAAGCCTAGTTTTTCTATTTCAATTGTCAAAAAAAGTGAACTTTCTAGAGGCAGGGGGGCGCAAACCCCTTTTCCTGTTAGTTTTCGGAAGCAGGGGGAGATTATGCGCCCCACGCGCCCCCTCCCCCTATTTACGCCACTGAATCCATTAAGAAATTTTATAATATCAGATTATAAAGATAGTTGAATTTCTAATAATGTCAAAACCAATTCTTGTCGTTTTAGCTACAGTTCATGTCAATAAATGTACCAAAGTGAAAATGATCATACAAAAACTGTTCCGACTTTTGTATACAAAGCTGGTAGATCTGAACATTTTCAAGCTACGAGATTTTGGTAGTAATGTTGACCATTTAACTGCTAAACGTCTTGGTCAATGGGCTACTCGTTTATATATAATTTTATTCTTGGTTACTCTTATTAGTATAATGTTCTATAATATTGGTCAGGAGACATATACAAAAACGTTTGATAAACCTTCTATGAATTGGACCAAGCAGTTATATATACAATATGGGGACGAATTGAAATGTCCATGTTCATCAATTGCATCAACATACGAACGATTTGTTAAAATCAAACCAGTATTTCATGAGGTAAAAATAAACTCATTTTAATCTTATCAAGATAAAACTTTGGAAAGATTATAACTAGAGTAACATAGAACATTTTTGCTGAATATTTTCCTATTTTAAAAACAATACTATACAAGAAAATTGTTTCAATGCACTAATGATTAAGTAGGCATCGAACAGATTGCTGTAGACAAAACAATGTATATTGAGAATGTAGGTAAATGTAGAGCTATTCTATTGACTTTTCTCTTCCACTCATGTCTATCTATACCCATACTCTCGATGTTTCATTATGACAAAATCTATGTATATCGTCAACGAATTATTGATAAATAACCTGAGATTATACAAATATTCGTATATTCACGAGTGTATTGCTAGCTTCACTGCTGAAGATAAGTTATAAAACAAAAAATGATCTTCACAATTCTATTCCATATAAATTCATTAGTAAGATTTTGTGGAAAATTTGCAGTATCTTGAGGGTGTGAGTGTGATTATCTAGACTCTTAATACACACGCATGCCCCATAGCTATTTTGCTTAAAAGGGTTTTTCTGAAAACATTATTAATTTTTAAACAATTATTGAAACTAGATTTTAGTCGTTTTTTTTTCTTTTTCAATGATTATAGATTTGTTCAAGTCCATTTGCTTCAGAAGAAGGACGAGCCAATCTTACAGCTAATCTTATTTATTATTTTTCATTTTATTCACTGAAAGATTATCGCCGTTTTCTTTCTGCTCATTTACAATTTCTTCAAGGATTATGTGAACTTTCTAATCAAGCAACAAACATTTCTATTCAAGGATTTCTCTCCTCACTATTTTCTACTACTGAAATTTTATCAGAGGAAAATTTTCATACACTACTCAATTCGATAATCAAACAAAATGAGTTAAATCCTTCAACAACAATCACTGATCTTCTCTTCGTAATTCGAAATATCTATCATGGAAATGCCATTATATCACTATATGGAACAAACTTTGAATATATTGCTCCTTGGGACGACATAATCGACACTTACCTACCTACACAAGCTTTGATCTATGACGATGAGTGTTCCTGTGGATTGCATCTCAATTGTACAACTCAAGCAACGTTTATTAATATAATTCCTTCAAAGAGCATTTCGATCAAAGGTCTAAAAATCGGTTGTACTCCAAGTGAATCATTTCGTGCTTCAACGCTTGAGTGCTTCTATAATCAATCATGCATAGATCTCGTCCAACAAATTACTAATCAACCAAGTCGAATCAATTTAACGAATTCTTTGAAGTCTCTCTCAACAAATAAGAGTCGATTTTCAATAAATACTACAATAGGTGAACTTATCAATAATCTCTTCATTGAACAATGGAACACAACAATTAATTATACATCGTATTTTGAACGATGTTTACCCTTGTTATGTTCATACACTTATATTCAACAATCCAGTTTTCTCTCTATAATGACTCATTTGCTTACTCTTCAAGGTGGATTAGCAATTTTACTTCGCTGGATTTGTCCGAAAATAGTTCAAATTGTATTTAAAGTGTATCGATATCGAAAAAGACGTATAAACACTATTCAACCTGCTGACTTAGCTGATACTGGAACAATAGAAAACATTAACACAATTACTCAAAGTTCTCCTTCAAATTCAGAAGTAACAACAACGGCTACAACAACTCCGTATGTCTTCTTTAATTTCATTTGCTTGATAATCTACATTAATTCTTCTTTAGACCAAATTCCGTTTTATCAACTCGATATATTCTCAAGATTGCCTTAATATGTGTACTGTTATTATGTGTAATAATAGCTCTCATAATATTCTCTATTGTTATTGCTCAACGAAACAAGAACCAAGGTAAATCGACAAGTATAAGCTTTCTATAGTATCTTATCTAGTATTCTATCTACTTCATTCATGAAATAAGAGGATCATCATTATTTTCAACAAAGAAAATGTTTATCAAATAAAAGATAAAATATAAACTTGACCGTCACTCGAACTGAATTGATTTTAGAAATAGGAATTCATCTCAAAAACTCGGTTGAATAAGATCATACTAGTGGTAACAAATTGAAAATGATGAGTGACATTTTTATTAAAGCATATCAGTCCATGAAGATTTTTTATATTTCTATATAAATGTGCAATTAGAACCTTACTGTATCGACAAGGAATGTAAACGACATTCTCACTTACTTTCATTGTTGAGTGATTTCAAACTGTTAGGGCGACTCTCATAAATCCCTACTAAAGCCAACAGATTTTATAGAATCTATTAAACTTTCGTGAGATTGTGTCAATATAGATATAGTTTTGCTATTTATATAGCAACAGCACATCTCCAGTCATATTATTTTATGTATTTTTGCCATCATAGATCGTTAAATGAACATTTATCAAATATTTCTTTTTAGCTTCTACAATAAGTACGATAACTAGTATCACGAAGAGCTCAATAATAAGTACAGTGAAGACCGTCACAACTACAATAAGTAAGTACATTAAAATTATTTCTGTTTTTTTCTCTTATATTTTCAATAAGCAAAATATACAAACATCTAACTCTTTATGTGGTTATCTCTTTAAATATGTTGCAATAATAAATGAATCGAAACAGTTGAATTATTCAATACTGAAAAGTACAAAAGAAACCCTCGTTTTCTCATCATTTTGTATATATATATATATATTTAATACAATATACAGTTAAATAAATAAAATCAGAGGCTATTGATAGAGAATAGACCATAGAGATTAATTATTACACGGATGCAATAAACGATAGACCCAAAATAGGCGTGTACATCGTTATGCTTTCTTCTAGAGTTTCCTTCTTCAAATGCTTTTCACTTGAAAACTGAATATAATTTATTCAATCATTTCGTTCTTTTTATTTGAATCAGCTTGTCAGTTAAAAATTCAACCAATAACAATCGAAAGACAATGGCTTCTTGAGTCTATAGATGACCACGCTATTGCTGATTTTAACGGTGATGATCGACTCGATATAGCTTTCATGGATTCTGAACGATCGAGCATGAATGTGCTACTTGGGAATGGCAATGCGACTTTTGGAGCTAGAATTATATCTCTAAAAAATCAAACTCATGATTTACGCAAATTATATGTCAGCGATTTTAATAATGATCGTAAACTTGACCTTGCTGCTATCAATCCTAATAAAGACTATATAGCTGTTTTTTTTGGAAACGGTGATGGAAATTTTGAAATAAAAACTAAGCTCGACCTTAGAACCAACTACCGTCCATTAGCAATGACTATAGCGGACTTTAATAACGACAACTACTCCGATATTGCTGTCATAGTTCCTACGTCCAGTAGCATTCATGTGTTCCTAGGCAAGGGTAATGGAGATTTTTTAGAGTACCCGCTATTAGATCTTATGCCAAGAAGTTATCCAGTAAAACTTGTTGTTGCTGATTTTAATTGTGATAATCGTCAAGATATTGCTGTCGTCAGTCAAGTTGCTAAAACTATTGATGTATTCATTGGACGTGGTGATGGACGTTTTGAAATGGAAAAGACGTCTTTTGCTGGAGATGGTGAACATCGACTAATTGATCTGGCTGTCGGTGATTTCAATAAGGATAATATACCAGACGTTATTGTATCCTATCATAGCATAAATCATACTAACGTGATTTTTGGATATGGTAACGGGACTTTAGGTAATAAAAAGAGGTTTACCATAGGAGATTATTCAGAAACTAATCAAATGGTTGTTCGTGATTTCAATAATGATCAATATCTAGATATCGGCTTTGGTAGAGAAGGCAAATCATTAAATGTGTTACTTGGATCTGGGGACGGAAATTTCGAACTACAAACGGCATTTCAAATAAGATTCATCACTGGAAACATTTGGATCGGTACTGGTGACTTTAATGGCGATGGCCACGAAGATATAATCTGCGCAAATGACATGGATCGATTGTATGATGTTCTCTTATTAACATGTGAATGAAAATTTAACTGAGACTTATTATTAGAAAACTCATTTTATTGATACTTCTGCAAAAAAAACGCTGATTCCACAAATAAATAGCTTAACATCAGTTTCTATTCGTTTGAATTTAATTAGAGAACTTATTTTTTGTTTTTTACACATATACTTAACATTTTACATTGCAAAGAGCATATAAAAAGTACAACACAATAAAGTAGTATCTTTTATAAGAAACTTTTCTGTACCTTCTGCTTTTTATGTTCTTATTTTATTTGTTTTCTAATATACTTCTGTAATGAATTTTATTACATGTTCAATTATTTAAGCTACTTATTTATTAATAATTTCACACTATCGCGCAATCATTAGATTTCTTTCATATTTTTGAATAAATCATCTATGGATATTTGCTACTGATTGTGAATTTTTTATTTTGTACTTTACAATAGAAGGATTTGCACTACTAAACAAGGATCGAACTCATAATTTGCCCATAGTTAGGACTCAGTGAGAGCAGAGAAAGCTGAAAAAAATGACGTGCTAATGCCTTATCTTTCTAGAATTATCATTGTTTTATTGAATTTTTGATTATAATTAAACTATCTAATAAACAACCGTGCAACACAGTTTTGTATCAACATTTTACCCATGGGTAAGTCTCACTGTTATTAGATTGTTGTAAAATTTTCACTGAAAACGTATGAGTCTTTGACGGTAGGTGCAAATGTGTGTTACTTTGTGATTTACTTTTTCTTTTCAACTGTACTTTTCTCTCTCTCTTTCTTTCGTTTCGTCCATCCGTTGAATAGAAAGTATTGTTCTAATTCTTCTTATTGTGTCGATTATCTTAAACAAAGGTGAAGATGTTTCTCGAACGTTTCACTCAAGAATGTAAATATATCTACACTGTAAAACTCGTTCTTTTCTATATGGTATTTTGGATAGAACTGAAGTAAATTACATCGTATTCCATACATACGAATCGACTTATGAGCATGCTAGAATATGTATACCCATGTAAACATGAAACGCAGAATAGACGCGTATAATCGCGTTTCTTATTCAAAATCGCAGTGAGACGCGGTTAGAACTGATTTTTCCTGCGTTTAGACGCTTTTGTATGAACAAACGCGTCCAAACGCAAAAACGAAATAGTTTTATTTTGCGTTTAGACGCGATTATACACGCGATCGCTTATAGACGCAGCTTAAAGAAGTTTCCAATGCGTCTGAACGCGAAGGCCAACCAAATCGCGTTTACAAGCGTTGATAAAGTCTTTTGAAATGCGTTTACAGGCGGTCGCATATGTAAACGCGTATGCACGCATGTACAGAACATCGTCGAACGCGTTTGAACGCGGTTGTAACTTAAACTGCGTTAACACGCAGTTGATAAAGGCTGTTGAAATGCGTTTGCATGCAATCGTATATCTGATCGCGTCTATACGCAGGTATACAAAATATTCAAACG